TCACCTTTCTGAAGTTTGAAGCCCGGCATTCTTTCTTGTTTGTCTCTTTTGACTAAATTATTAAATATATAGTCTTTCTCTAAGTCAGGGTTGTTTTTCATTTCTTCGGGGGAGTGGTTTCCCAAACCTTTTTGTTTACGGTTATTGTAAATATTTAAAACTTGTCTCATCTTTGCCATGGAGAAGTGTCTATACTTGTCGTCATATGACATTTCATTTGCTTCACCACCTTGTGGTTGGTTTAAGTCTCTTAACATTTTTATACATCCGTCAATGACACCAAGAGCAGAATGGTTTTGGTCGACAATGAAATATTGGTTTACATTTTTTGAACGCAGATAGTTTTTAATATCATCTGATTTGAAAGAACTTTCACAGTCAGATGTCAGTTTTGTTGGATGGTATTTGTCAACGAATATTGTCAAAGCAGTTTTCACATCTAAAATATTTTTGGACCATAATGGTATGGCTTCACAGTATCTTGTGTTTTGACCGACAAATATTAGCCAGTATGGTGGTCCATCTTCTCTATACCTCGGAATGTTTTCCAAGATATCCATAAACCAAGCATTTGGTGTTGAACTAAAGATTTTTATCATGAGTGCTTTCTTTGTCGCTTTAGAAACATATTATAAGAAATGGGTTTATTTGGCGCATTAGCAGGAGTTGCATCCAGATTTTTGCCCGCAGTGGGAACAATAGCCAGAGGTGTATTTGGAGTTGGAAGGAAGATTTTGAGTACATTAGGTATACTGAAAGAGAAAGCACAACCTATTATACAAACTGTACAGAAAGGTTGGGATGTAGCACGAGATGCAACAAATCTTATTCCAAATCCTGAAACAAGAGGAAAAAGTTCAAGGATGGATGGACAATGTAGGAAGACAAGCAGGAAATTATTATAACAAAGCAAATGAATACTATAACCAAGCAGGAAATTATATGAACCAAGGTGAAAGATTCTTTAACAGAGGATATAACCATGCACAACAGTGGGTAAACAATAACCAACCTCAACCGCCTCAAACGTGGGGAATGTAAAGTTTTTTATTGAGATGAAATGAACAATGCAGCATTGAGACAAATAAGTTCAAGATGGATTTGTCGGCTTCCAGCATTTAAACCGATACCATATAGTCAGGCTCAGCATGTGAAACTGAATGATATTATTAAAGGAACCATCCCACCTCCACAACAACAACCAGTTGAAAACAAACCAAATTAAAATTTTTTACTGAGATGAAATGACCGAAGAAGTTGAAACCGTAGATTTGACACCACAAACAAAAAGTTCAGAACCATTGTCAAAACCTGTCAAAGAACTTACAGATGAAGAGAAAAATTCAATAATAGAAAGTGCCAGATCTGGTAACTCAAATCCTAACTACAAAGTCACTTTTCATAAAAATGGAACGGCTAGTATCTTAAAAAAGAAACAGACTCTCACAAATAAAATATTGAAGTCTGAAGGAGCTTTCGAGACAACAGATGGGAAAGTTTACTTCACTGACCAACAGTTCATTATAGAACATCTCATTGACTTAGAGTCGAAATATTCTAAACTTTACAACAAACACAAAAAGTTGAAAGGAAAACAAAAACAAATGGCATATGATATTTATGAAGATGTTGACGACACAACTGTTCCTGCAAGTGAAGTAAAGTCAGAGGAACCGAAAAGTGACGAAAAACCGATAGAAGAAGAAAAACCAAAAACTGAAGATAAACCAAAACCAAAGTTTAGTTTCCAAACTAAACCAAGTCAACCTTCATTAGCTGGTATGGGTTGGCGTCAAAGACTTATGGCAGCAGGCGGTTATGTTAAGTAAAGAAAAAAAATATTTTTTTATTTTTATAAAAATGCCCCCATATAGAATGGACAGAAAGTCTGCTAGAATAAAAGCAGAGTTACAAAGATATGGTTGGAGAGTTTCGAAGAATTTTAAATAGAGGAAAGGAAGACCCATAAAAGTCTATGACAAATTGTCTGGTCTTCGCTACGAAATGGATTTGGAAACAGCACGTGCCAATTATCCAAACAGACTAGAGAGGTTAGAAGAAGAACGTCTTATGGACATGCCTTTCGATGTTAGTGAACCTCAAGTTGAAGGACACGACGGCTTTGCCAGATTCTATTGGAAACATGACGAACAATTGCATCCTTTGAGAAGGAAAAAAGGAAAAGGTGAAGACGCACATGCTCCCATGGAAAGAACAAGATATTCATATGAAAAGTATCGTGAAGTTAGAAGTCAAATTACATCTGGTCGAACCTTTACAGTAAACTTTGACGAAGGAAAGAACAAAGAAGGCTTCATGGGTGTACTTGCTGCAATTCAAGACGGAAATAAGAAAGGACACAATCTCAGATTGACCATAACAGATTTGGATGGTCACATTTACTATGCACATGGCAATGAACAAACAGCCGCAAAACTTCTTGACGCTTTCAAGACTACAAAGAGAGTACAAATGGTTGACTCCGACTCAGACATTTTGAATGCAATTGAAGGAATTGCAAGTGTCAAGTTCGAATGGTACCAACCTAACCCTCAAGCAGTCAGACAACATGCTGGATACTTCCCGTTCATAAATAAGTCTGACATTGACTTGACAAGGTATGGAATTTACAATTCAATTGAAACAATTGTCAACGAACCTTGCATTCTTACATGTCTCAGGAACTCTGGTCTTGTTACAGATGAGAAGATGAAGTATCTTGAGTCATGTGTGAAGACAAGGTACATTCTCAGAGGTCAATTGGCAAAAATTGCACCGTTGGCAAATGTCAATATCCGAGTCAACATACCTACAGCTAAAGGTTCTTCACATGACGACTATGTTGTTGACAAAGACTTACCATGGTTGAAGATTGTAATTGTCCACAACCACTTCATGTTGAACGAAAGTCTTACAAACCCATTCTTTGGTAAAAGTAAGTGCAACATTGTCAGAGCTGTAAACATTCTTTTCGAGAAAGGTTTGTTGGAACCAATTCCAGATGACAAGCTGACAGAAACTTTTGTACCAAAAGACGAAACAAACTTTTCATTGTTAGCAAGACCAAAAGTTGTTCCAGACAAAGTTCTAGTACAAAAGAAGTACACAGTTCCACAAGGAGTTGGTTTGTTCGGATACTAACCTGAACCAGAAGAACTTCCAATGAGGTTGCAAGAACTTCAAGATGCTATAAACAAACTTCCATTGAGACATCCAATTGACGTCAAATTGTATTGGAGAGCATCTGAGTTAGGTCAGAAGGTTTTATATGAAACAGGTTGCTTCGACGATGTTTATGAGATAACAGGAGAAGTTTCTCAGAAGATAAGAGACTCACTTGAATTTCCACAAACTGGACCAATTGGTTGCGACAAGTTCGACTCAAACGAAAAGATATACTATGTCGACCTTAACGCTGCGTACATGAGGTTTGTCCAATATATTCCGACTGGAATTCCAAACGAAGATGGTGAGTTCCCGGGAAGGAACTATACAGTTGGAAAAGTCATACAACAACTGTATGATATTAGGAAAGCTTCAAACCCCAAACTTGCAATGGCACTCAAATTGCTTATGAATTCGACATGGGGATATTCCATTAAGAAACCTCAAGAGATGAAGAGTAAACATTATGAGAAGGTCGACAACTTTGTTGAAAGGTTTTCTCCTTTTGTTTTGAAGTACGAATTCACTCAAGGTCAAAGTGGCTTAGTAACCACATTAAAACCTATTGTCGAACATTGGTCTTACCCTCAGTTCGCAAAAGCAGTCCTTGACAACTACAACAAATTCTTCTCCGAAGTCAAATCGAAAGTTGTGGTTTACTATGAGAACATTGACGCACTCATGACGAACGAAGAAGGATACAACAAACTCATTGAAATGGGTATGGTCGGTGAAAAGATGGGTCAATTCAAATTGGACAAAATTTTCACCGAAGTTCATGTCCTCTCCAAGCGTAAGTACTGGGGTGTTAAAGAAGATGGTGAAATAGTTAAACATTGCATGAAATAAAAAATTTTTATTCGAATTTGAATTTAAATGTGGGAATTCTTGGGAACGTGAAAGGCTTATTTACTTGAGGAACAGGTAAAGGTGGTGGAGGTGGTGGCAACCAGTCCATTTTATATTCCTTCCTAGCTAATTTCCGTTTAATTTCATGGTCGCCCTCGGAGTCTTTGAATCGGACAGGTCGAGTTACACCATTCTTGGTCTCAAACTCATATATAACCTGTTTGTCTGTATTTTCGTCGACTATGGCACGAGACACGAACATTGACCAAACGGACAAAAAGTGTCATTTCGGATGGTCAAGCAGCCAATCGCATTCGAGCACTTCGAAGAAGCCTTACGTTCCAAGGGAGAGGGTGTCTGGTGCAAGGCAGAGGTCATGAGACTCTACGAGCAGTACATCCTCAATGCCTGGGAGGACAAATCGTCCTTGAATTGGCAATTCTACCAACTCCTCTGGGACGACCTCCTACGCAACTGGGATAACGAAAGAGCCCAATTCAAAGGTCGGGAGCTAATTTTCCAAATTACCATTAATTTAACCTACTTATCCAAATAAACACCTAAATTTACTTGGGGTTTCCCCCTAAAATAAATTTTTTTTACTCTTAGAACCACTCGAGGTTCTCTTTACGGTTGTTGAGCTTGTCACCGTCAATGTGTCTGACCTTCGTCTTCTTGTCTGGATTTGGAACCCATTGAATTGCGACAAGCTTGCCCATGGAAATTGAACCGCGATTCCGAAGGTTAAGGTTCAAGTGTCCCAAGTTGTTGAGAACTGGGGTAAGAACCTTGCCGGTCTCCCTGTTGCGGATTTTGTATGGGTAGGGTTGGGAAATTTCGTAACCGTCATCGGCAACAAGGGTTGCCCATGTAGCGGCTTCAGGAACTTCTTCTTCTTCCTCTTCTTCTTCGTGTTTCTCTTCTTCCTCGACAATTCCTTCTTCAATTTGGTACTCACGAATTACGGTGTTGCATGTTCTGTCCTTTCAGAGTGCCGCCCAGATGGTGTCAATCTCTTCGAAGAAATGGTAGATGAGTCGGGCAAGGTCTCGGTTCTCTCTCTCGTAATTGCGCAACGATTCTGAGAAATCGTTCAGGACTTTTTCATTGGAAGCTTGGTTCATGAGGAACTCACCTTTAAGTCCCTTCATCTCTGACATAAGACTACTTTGGAGAGTCTTAACGGTGTTTGTCAGATGAGCTTTCAATTGGGCAATTTGAATTTGAATTGGGCGCTTGTCTGGCAACCTTGAAAGGACATCTTCCATTGAGTTTGGCTTCGGTGCTTGTTCGGACATCGAAAAAATGAAGTGGTTTGAGAATGACGGTTTTACTTCAAAAAGCTTGTTATGACAGTTAAGTCATACAACAAGTTTAAAATAATATCTTGTTCTTCTTCTGAACGTTTGTTGTCTCTTCCGATAAAAGTTTCGAACATGAGAACCAAAAAACGTTTTTTGAGATTGCGGAAGAGTTCAGGCAAATTTTCATATTCTGGATATGTTGGGAGCAGTTCAAAACATCTGAGCTGACTTTCGGACAAAATTGGGACAATGTCAGAAAATTCATCTTTGGTCGGACTGCTTGAAGGTAAGTCCCTTACATGTAAGTAGCTCTGGTAAAGTCTTCTCATTTCTGCTAACTTTTGGAGTATAGCTTCGTAATTTAAGAGTTTTAATTTTAATTGTCTTATTCCACTCTTTACTTCTAAACGGTAACTATCCATGAGGTCAAGAGTAGCTTTGGTAGCTTTAAGTGGAGCTATCTGTTCCTTGACTTCTGCAATTTTGGTTGCAATTGTGGTTTGAGCTCCTTCAAGTTCGCCGTCTATGTCGTTCTCAACGCCTTCAACCATGGCTTGAAACTCTTCATCGGTCCATTGAGATTGGTGTGGGACGAATTTAACTTGCTTCATTCAAAAAATGAAAAAAATGTTTTTACTCAAAGCGTGCCATGTATATGTTTACTGAACTGGCTGAATGTCGCCTTCACAGGTTATGTAGAATGGCTGTCCTGAGAAGTGAAGGAGAGACTGAATTGCCAATTTCATATGGGGTTGGGGGTTCTCCTTGTTTGGTATTTTTATCCAAGGACGTTTGTTTAGGAACTTAACAAGAGCTTCTCTTTTGGCGTCCTTTATGTCATTGTAGGCTGTCCCGTCTGGTATTTGAATTGGAATTCCGGTCGAAGTCTCGAGATTCAATGTAGACCTTCCAGAAATAGTGGTGAACTTGACCTTGGGCTTCATTACCTTGCGCAAGTAGTCTTTTACGCAGTCGTTAATTTCAATTAGGTAAATTGCCTCGTCAAATCCTTCTGGCATTCCGAGTCCTTCCATCCGACAGGAAAATATTTTCCCGACAACTGGAAAAAATTTTCCGGACAAAGGGAAAAATTTTTCCCGACGACAGGAAGAGTTCTTCCAGTTGTCCGTCCGTAAACCATTCAAATTTTCGAAAATTGAGAACTTTTTGGTCGAACTTCAGAAAAAATTTTCCTTCCGACAGAAAAAGTTTTTCCATCCGACAGGAAAAGTTTTTCCATCCGACAGGAAAAATTTTTCTTTCCGACAGGACACAAACGGATGACTGACGTTCCTCTTCCTGAATGCCTTCCAAAGCCAGAAGAACCGAAAGCTGCAGAACCACAACAGTCTCCTCAGCAACCTCAGTTCCAACAAGTACCTCCGAATTACTACCAATTTCCACCTCAAGGTTACTACCCACCACAAGGCTTCCCGAACTACCCTCCTCAACCTATGCCTTACTTCCCCAACCCTTGGTTGTTCCAGCAAGCTCCACCCCAGCAATTCAAATCTCAATCTCAATCAAAGAGAGACCAAGAGTTCGAAGAAGGTCTGAACCGTTTACGCAAAGATTATGCCACAGCCCCTATGGAAGATGACAGGCTTTCAGTCTCTTCCCTAAGGTCGACCAATTCGACTCGTACCACAGATTCGGTTCGTGACCGTGAAGACTACCTCAAGCAGTCTGAGAGACTCTTCATCTTACAGCCATTTACAGTTGGAGCACTCAAGAACATGCGCAATTACGAAGGTCAAACACCAGCTGGAGACCGCAAAACAGACGTGCTTACAAGAGCAGTCCAACTGGTCAAGACAAAGACGGAGATAGTCGACTTCATTCTTGCAGCTTGCCCATACAAGTAAAAAAATAAACAATTACGAGTTAAACTTTTTATTCTTTCTTTTCTGAGTTGTTTAGAGCTGGTTTCTCTTGTAGAAACCTTTCGTACTCTTCCATGGTCATGTAATTGCGAATTTGGTACGCAATTCCAGGTTCGTTGTTTTTGAACCTTATGTATGTAACGCTTCCATCCTCCTCAGGGAAGTAAGCTGCCAACATCTGACCAAGTTTTCTCAGTGACTCGGAGCTCATAAAAATGTCACTTTTTAAACGTTAAGTTTTTAGTCTTATTTTACCCTTTGTTTGTCAAGGTAGTATTGGAGTGCAATTTCTCCAAATTCTCTGTGTCGGAGTTCTTCAGCATTTTCCAACGTGTACCTGGAGAACTCAAAGAAGTTGTCATGAACATACTGCCATGCTGCTCTTCTGAGTTCGTCGGTATTTTGGAAGTGTTGCACCTTCGAGTCTTCGGACATGAAAAATGTCACTTTTTCTATTAAACCGTTTTGGCATTTCTCATGAGTGAGTATAGTTCTGCCGAACCATTGGAAGAGAAGAAGTACCCTTGCTGGCAAAAGACAAAAATAGTTGCCTTAGTTGTCATTGCAATTGTACTCGTAATTGAATTCATTGTACTTCTCTTCACGTACATAAAACTCAGCAATGGTATTTGCTTTAAGAATTTACCATCTTACTAAGACTAAACATTTAATTTTCAAGCTTGACTTTTTACAATTTGAACTTTGTTTGCGTAGATATGAATTCTGAAAGAAGTATGAGGGTCTTGTATGACTTTGTACTTCTCCCATAATTCATATCTGTCAAACTTACCTGCCATGGACTCTTTCATAAGTTCCATGAAATCGTCTTCGGACAATCCGGGGAAAAGTATTATGTCAGTAAGTATTCTTTTAACATCCTTACTTAAACTCTTTGCTGTCTGTACACAAATGACAACTGAAATGTTAAAGTGTCTAAGTTTCTTAAGAATTCGACACATGTCTTGTTCTCTATTCTTTAACAAAGGATGAGAGGCGAAATCATCTAAGATAAGAAGACATCTGTGAGGGTACGTTTTCCAATCGTAAGATTGCAATTTCTTCGAAATGTATTCTATCTCTTTCTGTTTGTTTCTGAAGTGTTTCTTCTCTAATATTCTCTGCATTTCCTCATTTGGGTCTTTAAACTTAGAATTTATATACTCATTTATAGCATTATATTCAAAACTCTTCTTTGGTACTTCTTTATCCAATCTAACAACTCAGTATCCTTTATACATACTAACTTAGACTTCTTTATAATATCTTTGAACGAATTGACGGTTTGGTCAAATTGACCCGAAGTACTACAAATGACAACTAACTCATAGAATGGGTTCTTCTCATCTAGTTTTTGTTGTTGTGCAGCCATTTTAAGATAAGTGAAAGTCTTACCCGACCCAGGTGGTGCAATTAGACCTGTTATACCATTCTGAGCAAATAAGAACTTGTCATGTATAGGTTTTATTTGAGCATTTTCTAACTTCCTCTTGTTCTTATTTAAAACATTCTCAAATTTTTTGTCAATGTCAGCAAACTTTTTTTCTAACATATTTTTAGAAAAATTAAAATTTTTATCTTTTAGAAAATGTCTAGCGATTTCGCTATCTATATTCGAGACAAGCTTTTCGACAGCAAAACATCTGTAGACCATAAAATCTTACATAGTGTAAACAAGAAAGGTGAATTTGTTCTAAAGTTCTGTTTCTGGGAATGTGACAAGAACCATAAAACATTACAAAGAGCAGTCTTAAAATTTGTCAATGACAGACTTGTTGACAGAGATGACGCCGATTGGAAAGATGAAGTCCAACAAAAGTTCTTAGAATGCAAAGAAGACACATGCGCTTTCTTGAAGATGAAATAGAAAACAGAATAGAAGAGCTATTAAAGGACAAGAACTTTTACATAAATATGGTTCGAGAAATTTGACATAACTCCACCAGAAAAGAAGAAGAAAGAAAAGAAAGAAAAGAAAGTAGAAGAAGAGAAGAAAGAACCTGAGCCAGAGCCAGAGAAAAAGAAATTTGACATGTAAAAATAAAATTTTATTTTTAGAACATTTCTGGGTCAATGTCAATGTTCTCTTCCTCTTTAGGAGTAAACACTGGCTTAGACTCTAAAATCTTTTTACCCAATTTACCTTGAACTTCTACAACTTTAGACTCATAATATTCATAGTCGTCTGTCTTCTTTGGTTCATAAGGTATAACAAGTTTGTATGCTTTGCCTTCTTTAAGGTTTGAGAACCTTCTGTCAAAATTTTCTTTGACTGTTAACAAACCTTCTATGTCTAAGTCTTCAAATTTCGCACCATTTTTAGTCACAATAGCAAACTTAACTGGTTCGATGTTCCAAACTTTGCTGAATGAAGACTTTTCAAAATGGTAGAAGTAAACATTCAAATATGCGAATGGTCTAGTTCTTCTTTAAGTCCTGACATATACTTATTTACTGAGATGAATTTTGCCATCTTTTCTTCAGAATAAAATTTTTTTTTTTAAAATTTACTCAGAAAAATTTTTCTTTGTATATACACCATTCTGTACGTCTAAAAGACTTTTGACATTTGCCAAGAATGTTCGTTTAGACGCTGCCATATAACCATATCTTGACAATATTGTTTATATTCATCATATAAAGACCTTTCATTTAATGACACAAAGTCAGTTTCATATATGAACAGTTCATATACACTCTTGTTTGCTTCTAACAATGTTTGTCTCTCTTCGGTATGTGGAATTTGTCTTGGATTGAACTTTGAAATATCTAATGTCATGAAATATGAGAACAAGTGGTTGTAAAAGTCAGATGTCAAAGTTCTGACAAAGCGTCAAAATATTCTGTATCTTGCATATGAGAATCTGACGTTCTGACAACTACATATCTTCTGTCAGAACTTTCTAACTTCATCAGAACAGCATTGTTTGAAACCATAATGAAGTTTGCAACATTCTCACAAACTCTTGAGTCTTTATACTTTCTTTCAACAACTCCAACTTTATCTGTTATAAGACTCTTCAAAGCATCTGAGTTTAAAACTTTTGTTGTATCTATACTTTGAAGTTCGTTACATACTATAAGTTTCATATTCTCAATTGAAGAGTTAAACTTGCCGCAGATGTTTTCTAAGTTTGTCATATTCGGATTCGAATAACCTTCTAACAGTTTGCACAAGATATCTGTAAAGAATGTGTTCTTACCTGTTCCTTGTTTTCCAATTATAATGAGAGCAGTTTCATTTTAGCACTTGGATGTTGTAAGATGTTTGCAAACCAACATAAGATATACTCATAAACTTTTCGTTTCCATTGCATATAATTTCTTTGACATGGTCTAACCAAGCTTCTATAATATTTTCTTTCCATTCTACTTGTTCATATTTATATCCAGTGAAGATAGAATAGAAGTTTGGAGAAGGTGTATAAACTTTATACCACGAACTGAAAAATCTTCTAACTTTGACAATAAGATATCCCAAGCATCTAACATCTTCATGCCAACTTGTACGACTTTTATTTTCTTAAGTTTCTGTCTACATTCTTGTTCTGAAACTATTGTCGCTTTGGTTTGTTAAAGACAACATCCCATTCTTTCATAACATAACATTCTGGGGCAGAGTCGACATAAATGACTAAACGTTTCAAATTCTCGACTGCTTTGTTATAGTCTCGAAATGGACACATATTTCTGAATGCTTGGAAGTCATAAAAATCTGAAACATCTATTCTGTACATTTTTATAAAAATAAAAAAAATATTATTTTTTTATTCTTGACTTTGTTGTTCCATTTGTTGCATTTGTTGTTCTTGAGCTATTTGTTGTTGAAGTTGTTCTTGTAATACAATACTTTCACCAGTTGCATCTTCCAATTCGAAACTTTCTGCCGTCATTGACAAATACATAGGACATAAAAGTTTTACAGGAACAAAGTTTGCGTCAACTAATGTCAACGTTATACTTGCCAAAGTGTTTGAGTTCACTAAGGTTGAAAATTCTGCATTCGAATGAACAATAGGCAAACCAGCAGAGAAAGTATTGTTTATACGCATAAGTATCTTTTGGTCATAATAGTTTCTGTCGACATTCGAATAACACTTTGAACCTAAGTTTGAAACAATATATAAGATTGGTGTGCTTAATGTCAATGGAATAGACATTCCTTGTATGACACCTTTTCCTGTTATAGGAAACTGTTGGTAGTAAAAACCAGATATAAGTTTTGTATTATAGCTCATATCGTTTATAGTAAACTCAGTCGGACATCCAAACATAATGAAACCTGCTCTAGTTGCAGCACATGTTACACCGTACTTAAAGTATTAAATAAGTCAACAAAACCTGTTGGTGGTATATCTGAGTAAGTATCTTCAAAGGAGTATTTTTTACCATTCACAACAATAAAGTCTTCTGGTGTCAAAAGAGCAAAACAGGCTTTAGTCGTCATTGTGTTTAAGGTTAGTTTACAATATCGTCCTTGAGGACTTTGTAAGTTTGTTGTTATAGAATTATATGACTCAGGGTTTTTAGTCGTAATAGTATAAACCATTATGTCTTCTGCCATTTACTTAGCAAATAAATTTTAATGAAATGTTGTGGTCGTCAAATATTTTTATAACGTCTGGGAAACTATATTTTAAGTTCAACGTTTCACCTCCTTTCATAACGTATATCTTGTCAATGACATTATATGAAACACCACAGCAACTAATGTCGGGTTCTATTTCTTTGATGTTTATATCGTCTGCCTCTGTCAAAAGTTTCAATAGTTCTTTCAAAACTTCATGAGGTGCAATGACATATGAGTTCACTTTTACAGGGTTGTGTTCGACCAAGTTTAACATTATACTTAAAGCTTGACAAATCTTCTCCTGAGTTTTAAGTTTGTCTTTCAGTTGTTGGTAGTCGTTTCGAATATCTGCAACAGAACTTAAGTCTCTGTAACTTCAGGATATGTTGGTTGTTCTTTTACAGGAACAATTGTTATACCATCTTCGTCTTCGTATGGTTTCCCCATTCAACATCTCTGTCTTTGACATTGACAACAACACTTTGACTGTTTGTTTGAGTTGGTGAATTTAACTTCACATCTGCCACCGCCATTAAACCTTTTGAAACACTTACGCTTCTATTTTTCGGAAATGACATTTTACTTAGAATAAAAAGATGGACGTATTCGGATATCTCTTTGAATTGAAGCAAAACAAAGTTTACACACACAAACAATACAAATACATTGACAGAATAGTTCTTTATACAAACAATGGAAATGTTATAGAATAGCAATATTTGCTGAACCAAAATATTTTCATAAAGCAAAGAAAGTTGGTATAACTGAAATGGTGAAAGTTCTTGAAGCAGACAAAAATATAACTTCAAAACTGACCGATATTTCTAAAGGAAAGTTTATAATACAATATTATGTCAAAACTGGCGTGTCAATATTTGACGAGAGAAGTCAGTTCAAGAACAACTTACTGACCTGCTGCCAAAATCTGCTCGATGGAAGCTGTCGTTATGCCAATCTGAGGAGCCCCAGCAGGTTTCATCGAACGAATCTTCAAAAGAGCATCTTCCGTGAAAAGTGCTATTGGTTTTGTAAACTTCTTTGCTCTCAATTCATCTGGACCGTCTCTGTCACCAGTATATTGTATTTGAACTGTACCAACAGTTGAAATACCACCATAAAGTCTTCTGAGTCAGCAAATGGAATGCCAAGCCAAAAGTTTGAACGGTCTCCATTTGTATATTGAGTTTTTTGACCTCCTGTATGAGTCCATAGTTTCACATATGGCATAATAGAACTTTGCATTTCAGGGTTAATGGTTGTTGTGAAGTTGTTGTTAAAGTTCATAGCATCTAATGTCAAGTTGTATGACCTCATATCCTCAACTGTAGAATATTCTTCTCTTGGATAATATTTGCCATCTATGTTTATATGATATTTAATACCAGGGTTGTAGAAACAAGAATAGTCATTTATAGTTCGTCTGAACAGTACAAACATAGTATCTGCATGTTTCATTGCAGTTGTTAAGCAATATCTGTTCTTGCACCTGGGTCAGCACTTTGGTTTCCAACTTCACCTGCAAAGTCTTTGACAGATATTTGGTGTATAGGGAACATAAGTGGAACTGCAATATATTTGGCAGCTAAAGCATTTGAAATATCTGGGTCCAACATATAGACTGCAAGTCTGCTTTCTATTCTCTTGCATTCAAATTTTCGCATGTGAACTTAACTGGGTCCCAAGCATTCCAGCAGCATTGAAATAATAGTTTACTTCAGTGTTGAAGTTTGAGAAACCAAAGTCTAAGTCAACTTTGTCTTTGCAAAATCGGCGAATGATGTTTATTTGTTCCCTTTACGTCTGTAATGCTGAATGGGTCTTGTGTTGGTGCAATGACTAAGTTATTTTTGCTTGGAGTAAGTTCGATAGAAATTTTTCCTGCCCAGTTTGGCAAGTATCTTAAAAACCTGAAGATGAGGAAAGATGACAAAGGAACTCTAAGTTTCAGTTTTACTTTAGTGCAGCAGTTCCATTGAACCAGAAAGGTTAACATAAACTCCTGGAACGTTAGGGTCAAGTCTTCTTATTTTTTCAATATTTGCATACTGGTCTGTTTGTTCTCTAGCTTGTGGTTGTACTGAGTTTCTCAAAGCGAACCATTCATAGTTTGCCCATGTTACTGTTTGAACTAAGTCAGAGTTAGAATATATCTTATATCCCATGAAAACTTCTGGAGCATATTGGTATCCGACATAGAAAATTCCATTGCAACCTTTCTTGTCAGACAACTTGGCAGAAGGTTTTATTTCAATGTCTTGTTCCACGTATAAGAATGAGTTGTCAATAGAAATAATATGAAACCTGTCGCAAGCAATATCTACTGTTGTTGAAGAACCTTCTCCAAACTCACCTACGTTTCCATAAGAAACAGCAGTTGTATATTCGTAAGTTCCAGGAACTATTTCTGACCTTCTAATGGCATTGTCGCATTCATTATACCATTCGGAAACATTTCCGTTCATGGCATCCAAAACTGTTGGCGTTATATTCTGAGCGGCGTACATTTCATATGGGTAAAAATATAGAATAGTTGGATTTATATGTCATAATAGAACCCACTCGGACCAAGCTTTACTTTCTTCCTGACTGAATTTTTAACTCTTCTTTTTCCTTCATTGCCACTATTTTCACTAGATGAAGTTACTTCTTCACTACTTTCACTTTGTTCTACTCTTCTCTTCTTCTTTGGTGTCGCTTTTGGTAACCTGCCCTCTGCTTCAAGTTGTTGCATCTTTGCCTCATGTTCACCTAGTCTGTTGTAAATTTCCCATGTCCTTTTTGCCTTTGGGCTCTGGTCGCCCATCTCAGGTAACCAATATCCTAGAAAGATTTTGTCATAGTTTGTATTTGAGTCTTCGCTTATTGTTTGCATGACTCTTTCCTGAGTTTCCGGTTCAAGCTCTTCAAATATAGCTTGTCCATATGGAATAAGCTCGTTTCCAAATATATGTTTTTGTAGCCATTCTGGTTTTCTTTCCATGTTACCAATAATATCTTTTGTGAATGGGAAAGCTTTTACCCAACGTTTCAGTCTTGCGTCATTTATTTCTGTAGTTGGTTTTATTTTGTCATGGAACATGTTTCTCAATACTAACATTTCATTTGGTACTGTCCATTTGAGTTTTCTTAAATATTCATCCCTTCTCGGTTCATTGTCTGCAAAGTAAGTTTTTATGACATTTTGCAAACTTTCGTTTGCAAGGTCATGTACAATAGGTTCTCTTCCTTCTCTCTCCCTAACTCTCTTTCTAAACTCTTCACCAAATATACCATCTCTATGGTTCTGTGTAGTTCTTTGAGATAAATGTTCTAGAACGTCAGGTGTTATATTTCCCTCAGCCATGTTCATTTCATACTGGTCCAAAATATCTGCATCTTTCATATCTTTCAATGGCATTAAAGCCGCGCTGAAAATACCGGCTATATCTGGTTCACCATTCACTTCCATTGCGTCTACAACTTCTTGGAATTGAGGTTGTAAGTTTATGAACCACCTATCCGGATTAGCTTTATAGCCCCATCTCATTGTAGTTCCATAGTCTGCAGAAACAAAAGTAGGTTTGTTTCCATATTGGTTAGGTTCTGAATGAACTTTAAACAATGTTTCATTTCTATATGTTTTGTTGAAATTTAACCTTTTATTTTCACCGAGTTCAGCCAAAGATTGAACGTTATATGGTCGTAAGTAAAAAGGATTATTGTATTTGTGTACATTATCTTTCAGTACTTCCATTCTATGCTGAATATTTTCATCTGATGTTGGAGTCTTTTGTATGTCGGTGAACATTTTTCGATATTCTTCTACTATGTCAGCCGAATTTTTCTTAGACTCTTGGAAAGATTCCATATTCTCCGCATACACTTGTTGAGGGTCAAGATTTTTCGGCTGTTCCAAATCTTCATCTAGTTCTGTGAAGTTAGTTTCCAAAGGAGGGACTTGTTCGTTTCCTTCAGGCTCTTCTAGCTGTTGTTGCTGAACTATTTCTTCCATGTCTGGTTGTATCTGAGCTTCTTCCTGTGGAGTTTCTTGTACCTCATCTGCTGGCATTTCATATATTCCGAGACCGTTTTTAACAAGTTCCCTTTCTAAGTCATCCGCATTCATAACCCTTTCTTCTTTCGTTCCGTCTCTATTTTTTACGCGTTTCATGAAGAGAGTTGAATTATCATTTAGCTCTGACATCAAATATCTCGGAGTAAATTCATCCATGTCATTTGGATGATATGCTATTAAATCATATCCCTTAGCAAGCTTGTATTTTCCAGGTTTGAGATTATATCCGATTTGATGCTGAACCATAAAGCTAAATAGGTTCGGGTCAGTATTTCCTTCCTTGAACTTTCTAATAGCTTCTTTATATCTGTCACTAAAGTCAAGAGTATCTGGGTAACCATAATTTTGCTTAAGCATTTTTAAGAATTCTTGGTTTCCTTTTTCTCTACTTCTTTTATGTCCTTGCTCTGTTTGTGGTTGTTGTGCAGGGTTTTGAACTGTTGGTTGCTGTGCAGGGTTTTGAACTGTTGGTTGTTGTTGTGCAGGGTTTTGAACTGTTGGTTGCTGTGCTGGTTTTGGTTGTGGTTGTTGTGCAGGGTTTTGAACTGTTGGTTTTGGTTGTTGTTGTGGTGCTGGATTTTGAACTGTTGGTTGTTGTGTTGGTTGTTGTTGTGGTGCTGGATTTTGAACTGTTGGTTGTTGTGTTGGTTTTGGTGCATGCCTGTGTCTGTGTCCATGTGACGATGTAAATGTTTTAGGTAATCCCGGTGCGGGTGCTTCTCTTGGAGGGTTTGGTGGTATATAAATTCCACCAGCTGGCACATATGTTCCACCAGCTGGCACATATGTTCCACCAGCTGGCACATATGTTCCATCTGCAGCATAATGTCCTACCTGACTTTTCGTTTTTAAGAAAGCATTTACTAGGTCTGTTTTGGTCTGTTGTAACTCTTTTTCTTGACTTTTCACAACAGTTGCTCTAACGGCGTCATAGGCACTTTGAACTGCCTGTCTCGTTGCTGCATCTGTTATTTTCGTCATATTTTGTGCTACTTCTCTTAACTCTTTGTCGAAACCTTCAGACTTCAGTTTCTTTCCAGATGAGAAATCGTTCACTTGTTTCACCTTACTATGAAGAGCTTCGAAGGCGTTCTTAAAGTCAGCATTTGTTAAAGCTTCATTTGAACTGTCTTCATCCGCTTGTATTTTTGTCCTTATTGACCCTATAAGCTGGGCTGCTTTAGCGTTGGCTTGGGCATCTAACCAGTCATTGTTAGCTTTTATATATTCTGCGCTTTTCATTGCCTTTTGCATGGCTGCGTCGTTATTTTTACTTTCTTGTGCTAAGTTTTCATACTGTACGGTTTGGTTTTGCAACTGTAAAAGTTTTTCTGCCTTTACATTTGCTTCAACTTCTTTTTTATACTCATCGCTATCCATATATGTCTTCAGGGCTTTTTGTTTTATCTCTTCATCTTTCAGTACTTTATATTGAGTAGTATGGTTTTTCAAATTTATAACATCTTGTTCCATTTTTGCTACTTCTGCTGCTTTTTCTGACACTTTTTTCGCATATTCCTCTGTACTTAGTTCTTTCAGTTGTTCTTCTTTCTTCTTTTTCTCTACGTTTAACTCATTGAGTTTCTTTGTGTGTCTGTCATATTCTAGTTTCTTTTCGTTTTCACTTATTTGTTTCTGTATGTCTATGTTTGACTTTTTGACATCTGTTATTTGATTTTTGAGTGAACTCAAATTCATTTGACTTTGAGGGTTATAAGCTGTTCCGTCTGCAGCTCCACCATAGCCTGCCATTTTCGCTAAAAGTGCCGCTCTTAAACCTCCACTCTGTGCACCAATAACTCGGTTTAAAAGCATAGGGTTGCTTGACATTTGTTGCAACATAGTGGGGTCATTCATCATTTGTTGTTGCAACTGTTGTTGTGGTGTCAGTTTTACTATTGGATGTTTCAATGCTCCCTTCCTCTTACGTATATTCTTACGTAGCTTACGTGGCATTTTAAGTGAAGTTAAAAAGCGGTTTTTGACAGATGTTTATATGACACTTTTTGTTCAGCACAAAAAACTACTCGGTCAAAGTGTTGTCGGTTTTGTAAAATAACCGTCCTATCTCATTCTATAAGGGAAAAAGGCTTCTCAAAGTATACTTCCTTGGAACGCCTGTAACTTTTCCTGTAGCGACGATAGACCCTTACTTGTCCGGACAAAGTTATACTATTTTGAGTGCTCTACAAAAAAGTCAACGGCGACGACTCTCAAAAACCGTTGTGTAAAAAGTTTTACCGTTGGACAAAAAAGTATATATAGAAAACAAAAAACGTTTATAGTTCATTCAATATTTGAGATGGAACGGTTTGCCAACGGTAACTATTAAATAAAATTAAAAAATAGAGGGGGTTACCGTTGACGAAAACGGTTTATTTTAAACTTTTCTATGAGTAGTCCGAAAAAAACAGTTCATTTTTCATAATGTACGCGTCTCGAACAGTGAAGCCCAATTCAATAGAATACTATCTCGAAAAACAAGAAGCTGACACTGCTATTCAGTCTTTAATACAGAACCAAGCTCAGGAGAACTCAAAAGACTCCCAATTCAAATCGACATCCAATTCGAAGCAATTAAAACTTGACTCGAATGTTTTAAAACCACAGCCCGCACGAACAAATACAGCTCTAAGAATAGACCAAAGAATACCGAACAAAGAGTTGAGGTCAAGATTGAAATTACAATCGGATGAGTATTTTTCCCTTAACAACCAGGGAAATACTCCATATAACCGGATCTACACAAATACCGTTAAAGAAACAATAACGGCATACACAAAACTCTGTCAATTGGTCCCCAACCAGGACCAATTGACGGACATTATATGTTCCTACCTTCCCATATTTGCTGAGTGTGTGGAAGGTAGGACATTGTTACAAGCTTGCTTACGTATGCCACCAAATCTCCGTCAACAATTTGCTCAAATTGTACATGAATTTAAAGCTTTTAACAACGGATACGATGGAGATGAAGTAGCAGATGAATTTGGGGAAGAAAAAACATTTTTCCCCTCATATAATACGCCTGCAACAGTATTTCCTACTAATGAATTTCACAACTATTGTGTCGTTCATTTAATTGTTGTGGATATGCCCACAGGTGAAGACATTCTCAGTGGTGACTTCATCGAAGTCTGTATCAATACAGAATTGGGAGAAGATGAGTTGCACAAATTCTCCTACGTCAAACATATATTCAAACCAGCACACCAACTCTTTATCGAAACTGAAATAACACTCACACAAAATATGTCCATCTCATTTAAATCCAAATCAGGACGTCCATACAGAATTTGGATGAACTACGTCCTCTTCCACTACGCCGACGATGACGAAGAAGAGGAAGAAGAGGAGGAGGAAGAAGAAGAACAAGAAGACGATATCCAGTTCATTTCCATCCGTAAAAAACATTAAAGCAAACATTTCAGAATAAAAATTTTAATTTTAATCTAAATAAATTCTTTTCTATATGGGCTAGAGGGCGCAACGCGCCTGGAAGCCCCACTCACCTGACCCATTTCATATATAATTTTTTGTCATAAATCTAAATAATAAAACTTTATTGAAAATCAAAAAATGTATTTTTGCATTTCTACTATTTATCGGGCTGTAGGCTTGTATATTAATATTTCAACGTAGAAACATCGAACATAATTTTATCAAAATATATCCCCAAAAAAATATGCATAATCACAGAAATTTCATCGAGAATCTAATCATATAGTATGTAAAGAATAATATGTTGTGAGTTAAGAAACGCAAATGTTTTTATAAAATCCAAAAAAATATAGAGAGCAAAGATCATGTAATGAAAAGTGACATGAAACGTGACAATCCGTTATTAGATGACTAATCGCCCCGGGAAAGGACTTTTGAAATACGATGTCCCCATTCTCGAAGGTAACTTGAAGAAGCAAGTTCCGCAACAAAAACGTACCCGCAAAGATGCAAACAACGAAGATCAAGAGGATGAGCAATTAACACGCGAAGTTCTCGATTCAATGCTTCCACCAAGAAAATTCGTTCAGGATGGTCAAACACTTATTCAATTTGTAAGTATTGCGCCAGCAACAAGATCAGATGTTGTTAAATTACAGAGTCAATTAGATTCACTTTTACAACAAAGAAAAGCAAGAAATACTGGCATTTGTCCGATTAGATCCGAGCTCTATGCCCAGTGTTTTGATGAAATTATTAGACAGATTACAATCGATTGCTCTGCTCGTGGCAAACTTCTAGTTCGTGTTAGAGATGAATTACGTATGATTATTTCCGACTACCAGCAATTATACGAATCTGCTGTTGCTTGGGGTATGAGAAAGGTTATTAAAGTCGAACAAACTAAAGATCAGATTGAAGAGGAAAATAAAACTCTTAAAGAAGATAATAGAGCATTAGAAGCTAATGTTGCTAAACTACAAGCTAAAATTGTTGAACTTGAAAAAGCATCTGTTACTACACGCGCAGAAATCGAGAAGAATTACGCCGAAGAGATCGCTTATCTTAAGAAGACGATCGCTCAGACCAAAAACCAACTCGATCAGATATTATCTGCCAAGTAAATATCATGTCTTTTATTTTTTACTTTTGAAAATAACCTAAAGTTGTTTTTTAAAAAATAAATGCAAGCAAAATACTTTTCGAAGAATTATTTTTACAAATTATTCACATAATCAATAACAATATTTATATACGAAAAGATAGTATATAGGAGCTAACAATAATAATGGAGTATATTTTATGAATGGCCAAATGTCAGCCGAACTTAAGTCATTTCTCTGTACATATCTTGATTCCATCTTTAACATGGTACCAAACGACATTATTTGGTATTTTGTTAATAATTTGGTACATTTCTGAAATCATTGGATCAGATCTACTCCAATACTGATGCCATATAATTAAATCATTCAATTTCTGCATTCCTTTGGTGCATCCGACATCTTCCTGATCATTGTAGTTGCATTCTGGTATGACTGAAAAATTATCTTGAATTATTGCATCATATTGGCTTTTTGGGAATGAATAACCTGAAATTCTTGGAAATGAAAATTTTTTCAAATTAAGTTTCTCTTCTGCCATTTTTGTAATAATATAATCTTCCCATTTAGTGGCAGGCTCTGTAAATAACATTTCTTTATTTTTGATAAATAATTTTGCTGCAGCTCTTGAAACAATTTGTCCAGATCCGCCACTAACTAGTTGATGGGTTCCTTCCATTCTGCAATCGCCTAATAAGTATGGAATTAAGTCAGGATTTGGGAAATCTGCCAATGTATTTATTAATGAATTTGGCCAATCTCGCGGATTTATGAAAACATCATCAGTTGGTCTCATCATCCAGTTAGCATCTGTTTTCTCAACGAAATATTCTAGCGTAGCGATAAATTTTTTAAGAAGGTCGTAAATAAAAGGTCTAACTGTTGTTTTGTTAGCAAATTGATCTGTAGGTATGCGAAAAACTGAAAAATCTGAAGGATTTAATTCTGGTGATAAGTTCGAAAAGAAATATTTCGGGCCTACAACATGTTTAGACTTTAAATGTGCGTTAAAGAAATTATCAAAGATAGATGCTCTGGATTCAGAAGTTTTGTCGCTAATTACTGCAATAAAAATTTGATTTTGATTTGATGTTTTATTGTTTGAAGCTGAAAACGCAAATATCCATGTTCTTATTGCAAGTAGAGCACAGCATGCCACAGAAATGAAGACTATAATTCGGGAACCAGTATTCTTTAAATTAAAAAATCGCCTCATTATAAATAAGATTTTTGTACCTGATAAAAGGATAAATCAAATAATATCTATCACTAATCCGAACAGGCAAGTCTGAAATACTCAATAACTTGATCGTATTAGAATTTTTATTACAGATTGAATGTATATATGCAGCACTTTAAAAAAAAAAAAAAAAAAAAAAGGTAGTGGGGCCTCCAGGCACTTCGTGCCCTCTAGCCCCCGAAGATGTTTAGTATAAAATGAAGTATAAAATGAGGTTTTTTTGGTGCTGGGGGCTTCCCAGGGGCTGCGCCCCTTCTAGCCCGTAAAAATTTTTGAGAGTCGTCGTCGTTGACTTTTTGGTAGAGCGCTCAAAATAGTACAACTTTGTCCGGACAAGTAAGGGTCTATCGTCGCTACAGAAAAGTTACGGGCGTTCCAAGGAAGTATACTTTGAGAAGCCTTTTCTCCATTTTAAAACAAGATAGGACGGTTATTTTACAAAACTGACAAGACTTTGACCGAGTAGTTTTCATGTTTTGTCACTTTTCTGTCACTTTTCAGGAAAAAACATTTTTATTATATATATAAAATGAATTTTACAAAACCACCGTTACCCTTCTTTGGAAATAAGAGTAGATGTAAAGATATTCTATTGAGAGAACTTAAGAAACTACCGAATGGTCTAACATTTGTAGATTTGTTCGGTGGAAGTTTCTATATGTCCCATTTGTGCCATACTGTATTTCCTGACTCAAAGATTATATGCAATGACTTCGACAACTATATGAACCGTCTCAAACATATACCAGACACAAACAAAATATTGAGTGAGTTGAAAGAAAAGATACCTATAGGTAAGATGGAACGTATACCATTAGATAAGAAAAATATTGTCAGAGAGGTTTTGAAAAAAGCAGAATATATAGACTGGGATAGTATATCTGCTAGACTATTATATAGTGGTTCTATAAGAGTTCATGACATTGAAACACTTATGTCAAACGTTTTATATCTTAACTATACAAAGGTTTTCAAAGAGGACATAGAAAAATATATTGAGGGTATAGAGTTTGTGAGATGTCATTGGACAGAGTTGTTTGAAAAATATAAAAACAAGGAAAATGTTTTCTTTATAGTGGACCCGCCGTTCTATAACACATGGGATTTTCAATACCAAGTAGACTGGACTTTGAGAGACTCTTTAGAAACTTTAGACGTTTTACATAACCATCCATGCTTTTACTTTACATCCGATAAAAGTGGTTTGGAAAGTGTCATGAGATGGTTAGAGGACATACATGACTATGAGTTTATATATGACAAGATAGAATATGAGAGAGGTCCTATAAACCGGAGAAAGTGTCATAACAAAGAAATTTTATTGGTAAGTAAATGTGGTTTGAAATAGGACTACTTGTTTTAGGTTTTTTCCATTGTGTCATTTACTTATTTGACGTGGCAGAAAGATATAGAGAATATGAAGATGAACCAATGTCTGCAAATGTTCAGCATATGTACTCGTAAGAGATATTTTTATCTAATATTAAATGGACGCACAGAACTTAGCGAATGCACAGCAACCTGGACAACCAAACCCAGAGAATATTCCAAATGAAGTTAGAATACAAACTGCAATGGCAAACTATGGTCAAGTGCCAACAGATGTACAAATGCAAACTGCCATGTCAAATGACGCTGCGTTAGGTTTGCCACCATGGTATGCAAATATGAGATGGAAAGAGTTTTATACAAACCCTGAAGTGGGATATAAACAACTCTATGCAGATGACGCGAACACAGGAGTTGACCCGGAATATGTTTTCTACCAGAGGAGAAATAGAATGTATGAGCTCCAGTTAAAGAATGCTATGGAACTCAACAGGAAACGCAAAAGACTAGGCGGACATTAGATTTTTACATATAGTAAAATGGTTTCTTTGGAAGAATAGGAACTTCTTTCGAAATGTTGGAAGAGGTATATGGAATGGAATAAAATCTGTCGGAAGAGGAATTTGGAACGGAGTCAAAAATATTGGTAAAAGAGTAGGTCAGTTCGTTGGTATTATACCTAAAGACCCTGAACCAGAAGAACAAGCTCCTGTTAATACACAGCAGCCTGAACCTGCACCACAGTCTAGTTGGCAACAAATCCAAACACCTCAACCGTATTAAAAAATTATATTTTTACCGTTCGATAGTAGTTGTATATGAAACTAAGTTCTAAGAATAAAACGCATGGTATAATGGAATTATTCTCTTTCTTCCATCTGTTGTAAACCATACTTGAAAGTCTGAAATACTTCCACTTGGTGGTTCATATAGCTTTGTAGGTTTTTCGTAAAAGTCATTTGCCAAGCATAAAAAAGAGTTTTGTGCACCAGAAAATGAAGCATGAACTATAATAGCATCTTGGTCGAAAACATTTTCATATGTTCCATTAGGGTTTTCGACTTCATAAAAGTCCGGGTGTACTGGATATGCTGCAGGCTGATTTAACATCCTCAAAAATCTATACCATGCCAAGTTGTTATATTTTGTAGAAATATAAACGTTTTCTCCAAGGTCTTCTATTTTATTGATTTTAACAGTTGCATTTTTCCTGTCATAAATAATATCGAGATGGTATTCTCCTTCGTCAATGTTATACTGGTTTGCATATTCGAGATAGATATCGTTTATTTTTTCTTGAAAAGCTTGAAGAGTTGTTTCTAAGTTTACAAGCAAATTCACTTGTAAAAGTTTTCCCTGTTCAAATTTCTCATACGTACGTTTTTCTTTGTTATAGTATCGAACTTCAAAACCGACCGTAAATGGGAAACCATGTATGGCTTCTGAAATGAACTTCATTCTACGAAAGCCAACAGCTTTTGTGACGGATGGGTCTCTTAGCCATCTCAATGGGTAGTCAAAACGATAGCCTTCATGCTTTACGGTCTCTGTCTCAAACTTTTGACCGACATTCGTAAAAAGTTCATCTAATGGTTTAGTTGTAGCAACTCTTGAATTTTCTTTTTCTATTGAAAGCATTTTTTATCTAGAATAAAAATGTCGAATGAAACAGCGTCTATGAGAGAAATACAACACAACCGACAACTCATTATACAAGCTCTAAATAAGAACACAACAAACTTTTCAAACTATTTTAAGATATCTGAGTCATTGAAAGAAGGAAACTTAAAACTGACATTAAACCCATTGACAGATGAGTTTCTATTTCAAGACAAGAAGAACAATACTGTCTGTATAAATCCAACAAAAGGAACTTTAAACGAGAAACCTATAAAAGAACTTCTTTTGAAAGCAGATGTTGACAACAAAGCTGACAAAGAGTATGTAGATGCAACAAAAGACTATATTCTCGCATGGACAGAAAGAACATACCCACAAAAACATCATACACATAACATCTATGACGTAGATGAACTTCAAGAAAAGTTAGATGACAAAGCTGACAAAGAATATGTAGATGCAACAAAAGACTATATTTTCGCATGGACAGAAAGAACATACCCACAAAAACATCATACACATAACATCTATGACGTAGATGAACTTCAAGAAAAGTTAGATGACAAAGCTGACAAGAACCATACACATACAAGTTTTACAACTTTTAGAGCAGATGATATTACACTAAACTTTGACCTTGGTTCAAGTGCACCTTCAGAGAATCCGAGTACAAGCGTAAAAGATACTCTTAACAATTTAGATAAGAGTTGCAGGAATATCGAAGAGCATGCCAGAAACTTTGAAGCATATGAACTACCAACAAAGTTAGATAAGAAAGCTGACAAAACAGAGCTTCAAACATTAAAGACAGAAATACCTCAAACATTATATCCTATAGGTTCTATTTATACGTCAATGAACTCTACCAGACCAGAAGTAGTACTTGGTTTTGGAACTTGGACTCAAATAGTCGACAGGTTTTTGTATTGTGCAAACTCTTCAAAGGAAACAGGTGGAAGTAAAACGATTTCAGGTGCAAATTTACCTGCACACAGTCACTACATAAATTTAAGTACATCTCAAGAAGGTGGGCATAGGCATAAATATTGGGGTTGGTCAGGAATGACAAAAGGTAAAGGATATGATGTTAAAGAGGACGTTAAGTTTGCTATAAATGGTTACTGGGATGACACTTGGGGAGAAGGAGACCATACACATCGCGTTTCAGGGTATACGCAAACAACGGGACAAAGTAAAGACTACATGCCACCTTACATGACAGTTTACGCATGGTATAGAAATGCTTAGTCGTCATTTTCAACTTCTTTAGCATATTCGTCAGGAGTTGTCTTATATTTGTTAGAAACTGTCTTTGAAAGTATACCACCTTGAACTTTGACAAGTTTGAAACGAGGTCTGACAATAGTCGTTTTATCTTCTGCTTGCAGTCTGTACATTTTGCCATGTTTGCCTAAAACTTCATAATATTCTCTTGTATACTTTCTTCTATTTTTACGAACACGAACGTGAGTATCTGTCGGGTTCCCATTGTTGTCATAGTCAATAGTATTTTCATATGGGTCGCGTTTAGGTATTTCTATTTTTACTTTGTCACCTTTCTGAAGTTTGAAGCCCGGCATTCTTTCTTGTTTGTCTCTTTTGACTAAATTGTTAAATATAGTCTTTCTCTAAGTCAGGGTTGTTTTTCATTTCTTCGGGGAGTGGTTTCCCAAACCTTTTTGTTTACGGCTATTGTAAATATTTAAAACTTGTCTCATCTTTGCCATGGAGAAGTGTCTATATTTGTCGTCATATGACATTTCATTTGCTTCACCACCTTGTGGTTGGTTTAAGTCTCTTAAGATTTTTATACAACCGTCAATGACACCAAGAGCAGAATGGTTTTGGTCGACAATGAAATATTGGTTTACATTTTTTGAACGCAGATAGTTTTTAATATCGTCTGATTTGAAAGAACTTTCACAGTCAGATGTCAGTTTTGTTGGATGGTATTTGTCAACGAATATTGTCAAAGCAGTTTTCACATCTAAAATATTTTTGGACCATAATGGTATGGCTTCACAGTATCTTGTGTTTTGACCGACAAATATTAACCAGTATGGAGGTCCATCTGTTCTAACTCTCGGAATGTTTTCCAAGATATCCATAAACCAAGCATTTGGTGTTGAACTAAAGATTTTTATCATGAGTGCTTTCTTTGTCGCTTTAGAAACATACAGGTCCTTGTTTGAATTCGTCATTTTTAACCCATAAGAAATGGGTTTATTTGGCGCATTAGCAGGAGTCGCATCTAGATTTTTACCCGCAGTGGGAACAATAGCCAGAGGTGTATTTGGAGTTGGAAGGAAGATTTTGAGTACATTAGGTATACTTAAAGAGAAAGCACAACCTATTATACAAACTGTACAGAAAGGTTGGGATGTAGCACGAGATGCAACAAATCTTATTCCAAATCCTGAAACAAGAGGAAAAGTTCAAGGATGGATGGACAATGTAGGAAGACAAGCAGGAAACTATTATAACAAAGCAAATGACTACTATAACCAAGCAGGACACTATATGGACCAAGGTGAAAGATTCTTTAACAGAGGATATAACCATGCACAACAGTGGGTAAACAATAACCAACCTCAACCGCCTCAAACGTGGGGAATGTAAAATTTTTTACTGAGATGAAATGAACAATACAGCATTGAGGCAAATGGGTTCAAGATGGATTTGTCGGCTTCCAGCAGTTACACAACGTGTTTGTCAAGTTCTTCCTATACCTCAGGAAGTTTTAGACCGACTTAAAAAACCTAAACAACCAGTTGAAAACAAACCAAACTAAATTTTTTTACTGAGATGAAATGACCGAAGAAGTTGAAACGGTAGATTTGACACCACAAACAAAAAGTTCAGAACCATTGTCAAAACCTGTCAAAGAACTTACAGATGAAGAGAAAAATTCAATAATAGAAAGTGCCAGGTCTGGAAATACAAACCCTAACTACAAAGTCACTTTTCATAAAAATGGAACGGCAAGTATCTCAAAAAAGAAACAGACTCTCACAAATAAAATATTGAAGTCTGAAGGAGCTTTCGAGACAACAGATGGAAAAGTTTACTTCACTGACCAACAGTTCATTATAGAACATCTCATTGACTTAGAGTCGAAATATTCTAAACTTTACAACAAACACAAAAAGTTGAAAGGAAACAAAAACAAATGGCATATGATATTTATGAAGATGTTGACGACACAACTGTTCCTGCAAGTGAAGTAAAGTCAGAGGAACCGAAAAGTGACGAAAAACCAATAGAAGAAGAAAAACCAAAAACTGAAGATAAACCAAAACCAAAGTTTAGTTTCCAAACTAAACCAAGTCAACCTTCATTAGCTGGTATGGGTTGGCGTCAAAGACTTATGGCAGCAGGCGGTTATGTAAAGTAAAGGAAAAAAAATATTTTTTATTTTTATAAAAATGCCCCCATATAGAATGGATAGAAAATCTGCTAGAATAAAAGCAGAGTTGCAAAGATATGGTTGGAGAGTTTCGAAGAAGTTTAAATATAGGAAGGGAAGACCCATAAAAGTCTATGACAAATTGTCTGGTCTTCACTACGAAATGGATTTGGAAACAGCACGTGCAAATTATCCAAACAGACTAGAGAGGTTAGAAGAAGAACGTCTTATGGACATGCCTTTCGATGTTAGTGAACCTCAAGTTGAAGGACACGACGGCTTTGCCAGATTCTACTGGAAACATGACGAACAATTGCATCCTTTGAGAAGGAAAAAAGGAAAAGGTGAAGACGCACATGCTCCCATGGAAAGAACAAGATATTCATATGAAAGTATCGTGAAGTTAGAAGTCAAATTACATCTGGTCGAACCTTTACAGTAAACTTTGACGAAGGAAAGAACAAAGAAGGCTTCATGGGTGTACTTGCTGCCATACAAGACGGAAATAAGAAAGGACACAATCTCAGATTGACCATAACAGATTTGGATGGTCACATTTACTATGCACATGGCAATGTCACAACAGCCGCACAACTTCTTTGACGCTTTCAAGACTACAAAGAGAGAACAAATGGTTGACTCCGACTCAGACATTTTGAATGCAATTGAAGGAATTGCAAGTGTCAAGTTCGAATGGTACCAACCTAACCCTCAAGCAGTCAGACAACATGCTGGATACTTCCCGTTCATAAATAAGTCTGACATTGACTTGACAAGGTATGGAATTTACAATTCAATTGAAACAATTGTCAATGAACCTTGTATTCTTACATGTCTCAGGAACTCTGGTCTTGTTACAGATGAGAAAATGAAGTATCTTGAGTCATGTGTGAAGACAAGGTACATGCTCAGAGGTCAATTGGCTAAAATTGCACCGTTGGCAAATGTGAATATCCGAGTCAACATACCGACTGAGAAAGGTTCTTCACATGACGACTATGTTGTTGACAAAGACTTACCATGGTTGAAGATTGTAATTGTCCACAACCACTTCATGTTGAACGAAAGTCTTACAAACCCATTGTTCGGAAAAGGCAAGTGCAACATTGTCAGAGCTGTTAACATTCTTTTCGAGAAAGGTTTGTTGGAACCAATTCCAGATGACAAGCTGACAGAAACTTTTGTACCAAAAGACGAAACAAACTTTTCATTGTTAGCAAGACCAAAAGTTGTTCCAGACAAAGTTATAGTACAAAAGAAGTACACAGTTCCACAAGGAGTTGGATTGTTCGGATACCAACCTGAACCAGAAGAACTTCCAATGAGGTTGCAAGAACTTCAAGATGCTATAAAAAACTTCCATTGAGACATCCAATTGACGTCAAATTGTATTGGAGAGCATCTGAGTTAGGTCAGAAGGTTTTATATGAAACAGGTTGCTTCGACGATGTTTATGAGATAACAGGAGAAGTTTCTCAAAGATAAGAGACTCACTTGAATTTCCACAAACTGGACCGATTGGATGCGACAAGTTCGACTCAGATAAAAAATATACTATGTCGACCTTAACGCTGCATACATGAGGTTTGTCCAATATATTCGACTGGAATTCCAAACGAAGATGGTGAGTTCCCGGGAAGGAACTATACAGTTGGAAAAGTCATACAACAACTGTATGATATTAGGAAAGCTTCAAACCCCAAACTTGCAATGACACTCAAATTGCTTATGAATTCGACATGGGGGTATTCCATTAAGAAACCTCAAAAGATGAAGAGTAAACACTATGAGAAGGTCGACAACTTTGTTGAAAGGTTTTTTCCTTTTGTTTTGAAGTACGAGTTCACTCAAGGTCAAAATGGCTTAGTAACCACATTAAAACCTATTGTCGAACATTGGTCTTACCCTCAGTTCGCAAAGGCAGTCCTTGACAACTACAACAAATTCTTCTCCGAAGTCAAATCCAAAGTTGTGGTTTACTATGAGAACATTGACGCACTCATGACGAACGAAGAAGGATACAACAAACTCATTGAAATGGGAATGGTCGGTGAAAAGATGGGCTGTTTTAAGCTAGATAAGGTATTTTCCGAAGTTCATGTCCTCTCCAAGCGTAAGTACTGGGGCATACTTGAAGACGGCACAGAAATAAAACATTGCATGAAATAAAAACGTTTTTATTCGAATTTGAATTTTATTTGAACTGTACGCTGAGTTTGTTGGAGAAGACCGTTGGGAAACTTGTTTGTTAGATGAGAAATATGAAATGGCATACCATTTTAAAACAGTATATTTTTACATATATTAAATGCTTCAGGTTGAAAAACAAAGAACAAAAGTAGCAGATACAAAACCGTTAGACTATATCTTTACAAATGCTGGTAGGACTATTTCAGATGAAGAAATTTCATCCGGAGCTTACAGGTTTGACTATCCAGTTCGTTGGCTTCAAAGTCCTTCAGATGCAAAGGCAATAGGATTTAGAAGAGTTTTGTTTTCAAATAGAACTAACGCTTTTATGTTCGCAGTATATTTTCATGGGCAGTATAAAGGTTCTGATGGTCTAATAGAAAAATTTGACGAAATGAAAATCTTTACAATTCGTTCAGACGAAAGTCTTGAGAAAACTCTAAATGACTTTCAAACTCAAATGAACAAATACTACTGGGAATTTCAAGAAAAATACGACTCTTTACTAAATGGAACATACTATCTGAAACTAGAATATGACAAGATGAACTCCACCGTTTCATTTCAAAAGATTGAAATTAACCCTCCAAGAGATACAGAGTTTTTATATTGGGGAGTAGACAAACGTTCTTGGGCACAATTTCTTCGGTTA